ACCAGCCTGTGTGATCACGAGGTGTCAAAGGGATCAGGGATCAGGCATCATCAGAACAAAAAATCATATCATAGTGAATGAGGGGGGGAGTGCGAAGTGGAGACCCAAAGCCCATTTGTAGGCCACTAGACATCCCCTTACAGAAGGGTCTCAGGGAGGAGACGAGCCAGTCAGGGTGTGATGTAGCAACGATGAAACATACAACTTTCCTCTAGTACCTAAGTGCTTCCTCCTCCCCCACTATCATGATCCAAATTCTACCTTACAAATATGGTTAGACCAGAGGATGTACACTGGTACAGACAGGAACTGGAAACGCAGGGAATCCAGGGCAGATGATCCCTTTAAGACCAGTGGTGTGAGTGGCGATACTAGGAGGGTAGAGGAAAGGTGAGTTGGAAAGGGGGAACTGATTACAAGGATCTACATGTGACCTCCTCCCTGGGGGACAGACAAAGAAAAGTGGGTGAAGAGAGATGTTGGACAGGACAAGATACGATAAAATAATAATTTATAAATTATCAAGGGTTCGTGAGTGGGGGAGCCGAGAAGGAGAGGAAAAAATGTGTTGCTGATGCCAGGGGCTTAAGTGTAGAGCAGATGTGTTGAGAATGATGAGGGCAATGAATGTATAAATGTGGTTTACACATTGATGTATGTATGGATTGTGATATGAATTGTATGAGCCCCTAATAAAACGATTAAAAGAAAAAGGGAAAGGCTGCCACATCACTGACCCATGGAGAGTAGCTGGTGGATTTGAACTGCTGGCCTTTAAGTTGGCAGCTTATGGCTTAACCACTTCAGCACCAGGGCTCCAGCTTCAATAGGTGAGGCCACAATAAATACCTAAGAAATAATAAATTGTATGTAGAAAACTGAAAGGTAATACTGTGTGGCAAGAATCATTTATCTACATTTCCTGAATCAACAGTTGTGATGTCTTCCAGACAGTTAACATTTACTGTTTACAAGACAGAGAAGCATTAAATCCCAACTAAATCCCAGCTGGGTAAGGAGTTAAATGTACAAAATGACACCATAAACTAGGGGAACAAATATGGTTGAGCCCTTCATTGCTCTTTAAAGAGGAAATCATTTCTTAATGCAGGAGTTAAAAAATAATTCAGAAAGTAAAGATTGGACCACCCAAGAATATAAAATTTGGTGTAATGATAAAAGCATAACTAAAAGGCAATAATCTATAAAATATTTACAAGGAAAATGATGCAGTTCCTAGGCTCAATGCTTAAAGAGCTCTTGGAAACCAACACAGAAAAGCCAAACCAAAAAGTAGAAGAGGATCAAAGGGATTTCAGAGAATAAATGGTCTACAGCAGCAGACATGTGGGAAGTGTCCCCCTCCAGAGGAATGGAAATGGCCCTGCTTATCACAGCAGGGGACCAGTGGCTCCTCTCCACACATTTCGAGAGCTTGAGTCTGTCAGTGGAGTGTGGCTTTCCTCATGTGTCCGTCGTTCTCCTGGCCACTGTCCCCGTGCTAACTGTGGACCCCGCACACCCACATCACACTACAGCGAATATGCAGAGTTGGGTACACCTTTCTCGGAAGCAATTTGACAAAGCTTGACGCAATAATGCAACATCGGGTTGTATTTTCTACACTAAGGAAAAGAATCAGATATAAGTGGTTTATGTTTAAAATTGTTGCTCAAAGTGTTAGCTATCCCAGGAAACATGAGGCAAGAACCAGAATATTAAAGTTATACAATAAAATACTAACTAGCCATGGATATTGATTTTTTTAATCATTTTATTGGGGGCTCGTACAATTCTTATCAAAATCCATACATACATCCATTGTGTCAAGCACATATGTACATTTGTTGCCATCATCATTCTCAAAACATTTGCCTTCTACTTGAGTCCTTAATATCAGCTCCTCATTTTCCCCCCTTCCTCCCCACTCCCCCTTCCTCATGAACCCTTCATAATTCATAAATTATTATTATTATTTTGTCATATGTTACACTGTCCGACGTCTCCCCCCACCCTCTTCTCTGCTGTCCATCCCCCAGGGAGGAGGCTATACACAGATTCTCGTAATCAGTTGGATATTGATTTTTAAAGGTTTTTACTAACACAGGCAAGTGCTTATAACATGATACTAAATTAAAAAGTTATAAAAGTTTTTGTTTGTTTATTTTTGCTATGTAATGTTATGGCATTGCCTTGCAAAAAGAGAGGGAGAAAGGTACTACTAACAGTGATGAGAACGTAAGGTGAGGGGGGCAAAGGGAGCTGATGCAAGGAGTCAAGAAGGAAGAGAATGCTGTGAAACGGACTGTGATAGCAATTGTACAATACTGCTTGATGTGCCTGAACTTTTGGATATATGATACCTGTATTAACTCCCAATCAAATGGTTTTGGAAACAGGTAAGAAGAAAGAAAGAGCGAGAGAATGATGGTATGGCATGATACAGGTCTTTTTTTTCTTCTTTATGTACCAGGTGTTGTTTAAATATGCTATAATAAACATGTTTATACATTAAAGATATTTTTAATGTTTTACAGCTATGTGAGAACATTGATAACCACAGTATGTGAATAGCCTCCACCCCAGACAGAGCACCTCAGAATGTGGGATACCGCAGCCGTAATTAGGGTAAGTTTTAACATCTTACCATTTGCGTCTCCTTTAACCCATTTTTAACTTGTTGTAGTTTTTATTACATTCTGCTAACTTTTGAATTGAAGCTCCAATTCTGTGTTTTATTCTATGGTAGTTGCTGGGTTTCTGTTTGGTTTTTATTTGAATGATTTTCTTTATATGAAACTCAGGACAGGTAGATGTATAGAGACAGCAACTAGATGAATATTTTCTTAGGGCTGTGACAGGAGGCTGGGGGAAAGGGGAAGCTAATATAAGAATGAAGGAAATGTTCTAGAATTGGTTGGGGTGATGAATGCACAACTCTCTTTAATATACTTAAACATGAATTGTTTGATACATGAATTATATATCAATAAAATGTTTTAAAGGTGAATCAAAAGAAGAATTACATGACAACAAATTAGTGTATTGCCTTTAGTTTTTCCTGCCTGGTTTTGTATATTATTTTTCTCTCTTTCTCTTTTAGGGTTGCAGCTAGAAGATAATAAAACTAGAAATGGAGCCTTTATATGAGGAGTATCTAGCAAATAGCGGAACAATAGTAAAACCTTACCACTGGCTTAACTTCTCTCTAGATTGTTCTAATTGCCCTTACCATATCCGAACAGGTGAAGAAGCAAGAGTGCCCCCCACAGAATTTTCTCAGATGTTTGGATTCCCGTATGGGCCAACGTGTTCTCAAACAAGACACCTCATCTTTTATGAACTAAAAACTTCTTCTGGTGGCCTGGTGCAAAAGGGCCATGCAAGCAGTTGCACTGGGAGCCACATTCATCCAGAATCAATGCTATTTGAGACAGAAGGTTACCTCGATGCAGCCTTAGACAGTAATGGCGCTATCAGGCACATCATTCTGTATTCTAACAACTCTCCTTGTAACGAAGCTAGCCACTGCTGCATCAGCAAAATGTACAATTTCCTGATGGTGTATCCAGATATCACTCTTAGTATTTACTTTTCTCAGTTCTATCACACTGAGACGGATTTTCCTGCCTCCGCGTGGAACCGCGAAGCTCTCCGGAGCCTGGCCAGCTTATGGCCGCAGGTCACTCTGAGTCCAATCAGTGGTGGGATGTGGCATTTTCTCCTCAATGACTTTGTGAGTGGTGTCTCCGGACCGGCTGCTTTCCAGCCCATTTTACCTGGAAGAGCCCTGGCAGACAGGTACAATGCTTATGAAATCGGCGCCATCACCGGGGTGAGGCCTTATTACACAGAGGTTCTGCCACAGACGAAAGAGACTCCAAACATCAAAGTTCAATCCACTTCGGAGAGCTATCCTTCAACCAATATCTTCCCAACACCATCTTTCCAAGTGACAAGTGGACATCTACAACCCCACTTGACACCATGCCCCCGGATCCCTGTCATTTTCCTGCTGGTGCCTTTCAGAGAGCTCCCACCAATCCAGGTGGGTCAGAACGTACGTAAGCCCAAGAATGTAGTGAGGCACTTAAACATGCTTCAGGAAGCCACGGACCTCACAAGGCCTCCCCCTGAAAGGCCAGTGGATACAGTGGAGATCACAGAACAATTTGCAAGTGCCAAAGAGGCAGATGAAAGAAGAAGAAAGGGAGAAAGTAAAACCTACATCTCTATGGCCAGAGACTGAATGTCATCAAAGGGCTTATTACACAGCCCGCAGAAGTCAAGAAACGTTTTCTCTTGCGCCTGATCCAAGACGCAGATAAATCAATGCAGATAAAGCAAAAGCTAAATTATTCCCTGTGCGCCTATTATAAAGCAATGCTATCTTTAGCGTCATCTGAAATGTTTCCATCAGCAGCTTGATCTCGCTCCTGGACTCGCGTGGGGACAGCATCAAAATGGAGCCAGCAATACCTTGCTAATATTGTGTTACAGAGAAGTCATGTCATTATTTTAGTCTAACTACATCATCTTTCCACCAAAAGAGCCCGAGGACTAAATAGCTTCCTACATTGGTTTCGATATAAAAATTTACTGTAAGATTGGAAAGATGCCTAAAGTTAGTGACAGTAAGTGCTGTTTGCAAGAGCAAACCAGTGATTTTCCATTCATCGTGATGCTTGGACAAAAGATTTTCAGCAGGCCCTTTTTTCTTAAGTGATTCAAAATAATTTTGTGTGCAGAAAAGCTCTTTGGCTAATTGATATTTTACAGCTACAAAATTGACCCTGAAACCTAGGCACCCACTCAAGTTTGATCTTTCCCAGTTCAGGCCTCTTCCTCCCAAATGATGCTGAACGATACATGATCCCAGCCCTCCTTACGGCTGTCCAGGGCCACCTCTGCCTGCGTGTGGCCCTATCTCCTCAGCAAGTCTGGAAGTGCCCATGGGCAAGTACCGTCTCTCTCCTCGTCGTTTTGTCCCCTTAGGAGAAGTAGGAAGACTGGTCAAGGGCTTGTTGAGCCACTGGACGCCTGCAATCGGCATCGGTATTCTTCCTAGCCGCCACGCCACCTGTCTCTGGTCCTGCTCCCTGAGGCATAGTTTCTCAGCTTCCCGTTCTTCTGATCCCTTCCCCTGCACCAGTTCATATTAGTGCATTCGCTTAGCATTTTGTGCACAGCGTAATTCTCCTAGGAAGGGCTCCCTGGCTAACTCCCTCAACATTCACATGAATGTTCTTTGTATGTGCTATATTAATTCACATTTGCTGTCTCATTTCTCTTGGAAATATATGAAAGTGCATTATAAGCAACTTGCTATTTTAAAATGTAATAAAAGTAATACTAAACTAATAAGATAGTTTTGCCATTAAATGGTAACATTTAAGACACCTAACTCCCATACCCAAAAACAAAGAAAAGGGGAGGGAGGAAAACACTTGAGGAATATGAGTGGCTATTGTGATTAAACAAATAAATTTCTATCGTCAGTCTACAAATTTGTACAGAAGTATTCAAATATAATCACATTGTGGGTATATGTTGGTGGTGGTAGTCGATGTTGTAGTTGGCTCCTACAATACAAACTCTGCCCAGGACGGCAGCATCCTCCCAACGGTGCCTCTGTTGGAGCCCATTGTCGCAATCATGTGTTGTATCAGTGACCCGTTTCTTTTCCAAACACGATGTCCTTATGCAGTGCCTGGTCCGCCCTGATAGCATGTCAAGTACATGAGACAACGTCTCTTCGTTCTCAGTTCTAAGGAGAATACTGTCTATACTTCATCCCAGAAAGACTTGTTTGTTCTTCTAGCAATCCAAGATACACTCAATGTTCTTCCCCCAAGATCATCATTCAAACGTTTCAGTTCTTCCTCAGTCTTCCTTATTCCTGGTCTATTCAAAAGGGCTGGTTCTCAATCACAATGATCTTCCTATAACCCCTCCCAGGGGGCTGGACAAGAGAAAAGTGGGTGAAGGGAGACAGCGGTCAGTGTAAGATGTGAAAATAATAATAATTTATAAATTATCAAGGGTTCATGAGGGAGGGGGGAAGGAGTCGATGCCAGGGGCTTACATGGAGAGCAAATGTTTTGAGAATGATGAGGGCAATGAACGTCCAAATGTGCTTTATACAATTGATGTATGTATGGATTGTAATAAGAGTTGTATGAGCCCCCAATAAAGTGATTTAAAAAGGAGGGTAGCTGGTTCTATGAGATCTACCTGCATCCTGTCGCCCAGCCAGAGTCTGTCACTGCAGGTGAAGCTGCTGCTGCAGCATCATCAGCCTTAGTGGCACCAGAACATCCTTGTCTTCCGCACTAAGACCTACAGCAACGTTCTGGTGGTGGTGTATGACATCATCTAGTGGGCGTAGAGGGACTAGTTCCCAGACCATGCAAGGTGTTGATCTTCAGGTGCGGGGATGGGGTGTCCTGCGGGAAGTAGTGGAACACCCCTCGATGGAGGCCTTGATATCCAGTACAGCACGGATGAGGATGTCATCCAAGGAAGTCCTGGCCTGGAATGGTTGTTGGCTCAAAGCTGACCCACCACGTGACGGTTTTGAGTTCATGAGAGTGAACCAGGTGCTTCCGATGTCTCATCACGGATTTCTCAGACCCTGTGGTCCAGCGGAGAACCTCGTCAAGGAATCCTACTGCCCGCTCAGGACTATATCATGAAGATAAAATCAGCCATTAGTTTTCATCCACATTTGCTGACTATAGAGACTTGAAAGTGGTGACGAGCATGCAGATAACCAATGGTGGTGGTTGGTGAATCTTCACCCCATTATGTTTTCTGGACAGCCATACATGAATACGGCCCAGGAACACTGAAGATCCTTTTGACCCAGACAGATTCCTGCATCTTGTGTTTCCATCTCCTTCATTTACTGTCCGAATCTCCTTGAGTGGCCAAGAGACAGACTTCTCGAAGCCCACGCCATGGATGCGCTTGTGAATGCTGATGGTGTTCTCTCTGGTCACATCTCCACTACCCTGAGAGCAAAACGGCCCTTCTTCTTCTCACTGCCTTTCTTTCGGGAGCCACCATGCTAGGACCAGGTTGGAAAGAAGAGTACGAGGAATCGTGCAGGCCCATGTTACATGGCTTTTCCAGGTATGTTATCTAACTTTCCAAGAACAAGAAGCATGATGGTTTTCTGTCGCTCAAAACTATTCCAGACAATAAAAAAGATACGTAAATCTTCCCAATTTATTTGACAAAAGTGAGACTAATCCTACCAAAATAGCACCAAGAAAGAAAACCATGAACAATCTGACTTGACAATTTAGAATTCTGCACCATGTAATCAAACTATAACCTAATCAAAGCTCAGCAGTGAATGAAAATAGTACTATTTAATAACTAAATAGACTATATTGAGGAGTATGGAATGTTTCCGTACAGAAAAATGCATACATGTAATGCGTTATATTAATAAATTGAACATGTAAAATCATGACTTTTATCATTAGACACCAAAAACGTATCTGGCAAATTCAGCAGTCCTTCATAAAAATCAGAAACCAAACCAAAACCCGGAACCTGCGCCGCAGCAACTCTGTATCGGGTCTCTGAGGTTGGGGATCTTTAGGGAGCAGATAGTCTCAACTTTCTCCCATGAGCAATGGACGGGTTTGAACCCCCGACCTTGCTGTTAGCAGCCCGAAGTTTATTCCACAGCAATGCCATAGTGACAACTGGTGAAACACCAAAGATATTTACATTAAAAGAAGAGCAAATCAGGGAATTCTACAACCACTCAATTTCTCAACATTTTTATCACTTATTTATTTTTCCTGTTGTATTATTTTCTCCTCCTCGTCTCCCTGCCCTGAATCTATTTCAACTCATATCAACCTCGTTTTCAAGACTCTAGCTAGTACAGTAGGAACCCTGGTAGTGTAGTCGGTTATGCACTGGATTGCTAGCCACAAGTTCTGCAATTCAAACCCACCAGCCACTCCGAGAGAGAACAATAAGGTTTTCTGCTCCCATCAAGATGTACAGCAGCTGAAAACCACAGAGGTGGTTCTATTCTGGGTTATTGGTTCAGTACGGGTCTAAAGTGATTCCATGACAGTAAAATGAGAAGAAGCTAATGTAGTAAGATAAGGAAATTAGATTACATAAATATTGGGAGAGAAATTTTTAATTATTATTTCAAATGATGTGGTTATAAATTTAGACAACGGTTATCATTAAAAAGCGATGGCGGGAAGGTAGAGGGAAGGAGAGGGAGAAAGGGGGAACAGAGGACAAGGTCTACATGTGGCCTCCTCCCTGGGGGACGGACACCGGAGAAGTGGGTGAGGGAGACGTGGGATGGGGTAAGATATGATAAAATAATAA